TGCTTTCTTTTATTAATTTAATTGTCCTTTAAGATTTGGATTAAGGTTGGTATGCATTTGGAAAATGTCATATTTGTCATTTTTCCAAAGACTGATGAATTAATACAGAATGCAGACTACTGTGGGACGCTAGCAAGAGACTGGATCTATGTATCTCTGGTCCTGCAATGTCTTTGCTGTCACCCTAGGTACATTTGTCATGCCTTGCTAGGTTTTAGTTTCCTAATTTGCAAAGTGAAGATAATAATATTGTATAGATTATGTTGAAGATTCAGAGAGCTAGTGTATATATAAAGCAGCTGGTATACCACGTGGTACAAGGAGGGAGGTGTCAGCTGATGAAGGCTCCCCCTCTTCTTGCCTTTATGGCAGAGGCCATCTCTCCAAATCACATTTACCTTTTTTTTTTTTTAATGGTGCTGGGGATTAAACTTAGGGCCTCACACATGGTAGGCAAGGGCTCTACTCCTGAGCTATGTCCCCAGTCCCACATTCACTATTTATAAATCAGGTGAGGTAACAGAACTGAGAGGAAGCCTTGCCACTGAGAGGACTGGGAGCTCTTCCACATCTGCATTCCCACAGCCCTCCATATGCATTCCTATGATGGTCTGACTGGGAGCTCCTTGCAGGCAAAGGCTGGAGCCACTCATCTGTGTGACACTCAATGCCTGTATGCTATCAAATACCTGCCCCTGCTTCCCTGTTCTGCTCTCCACTGCAGAACAGGCTCTCTGATGGCAGCAGGCTTCGGGGGGGTGGGGTGTCAACTAATAGGATATTGATGGGAGATTAGAAACTAGGAAGAAAGCAGAAGCCAGAGTATTTCTCTGAGTCTTCCTTCTTCTGTTTTAGGAGTGATTTTTGGCAACGGTTGTATATGGTGGTTAAATATACACCAGATTGATGGTCAATCTGGATTGAGAAGTGCCTAGGAGATTAGTAAAGCACAGCTGTGGTTGTGTCTGTGAGGAGTTTCCAGAGAGGATTAGCTAAGAGGGGAAGAGCCACCCTGAATGTGGGGTGGCACCTTCCAATAGGCTGGGGGCCCAAATGGAACAAAATGGGAATGAGGATGCCTGCTATCACAGGCATGCTCTATCATGCCTCTATCATGATGTACTGCATCTTTGTAGGCCCAGAAACACAGGACCAAGTGACCATGGGCTAAAACCTGTGAAACCATGAGCCAAAAGAAATCCTTTCTCCTTTAAGTTGTTTTTCAAGGTATCTGTCACAGCCACAAAACACTGATTAACATACTATGTCTTCCCTGATAGGCCCTGTGCATGGTCAGCTCTGCCTGGACGCCCTGACTACACCGCTTTCCTCCCCAGGGTCTTCAATTCCTAGTGACATTAGCAACTTCTGGATGTTGCTAATATCTGACCTGCTTCATAGACTCCTCTTAAGCTTCTTATTGTTTCTATATTCAGTGTAATCAATCCCCTGTATTAAATTTCCATGTGAAATGCCTGGAGTGGTTTCTTTCCCTTTTTCAGGACTCAGGTTAATACATTCTCCAACAGTACCTGACAAATGTTAGACTCTTAGGAAGATCTTTTGGACCGAGTACATTTTCCATCATTCCCCAAAGGGTAAGATTTTGTCACTCTTGTCCCTTATGTCCCCTCCTCACTTTCCATAATCTTAGCAATCTGGAAGCATGAGGAGCAACTAATATGTGGACTATCCCCCAGAAAAATCCACGACCAAAATATTAAAGTTCTTGAAAACTCAGACATGTTCATTTGTTTCATTTTCTTAAGCCCCAGCATCTAATCATATCTGTCTGCATAATGAGTGTAATCAGTGAGCCCAAATTAAATATCCCTAACCTCTGCCTTTCTAATCAATCACAAATCCTGAATTAAAAAAAGCTGATTCTTTCTCTGGGAGGCCAGCTCTGTCCATACATTGTTAGGCTCTGCACAGAGATGGTTTTGGCATCAGCCTGTTTGTGGGTGAATCGTGTGTGACGTGACCATGTTCTAAGGGAATGAGACAGTTTATCAGTGAGTTTGCCAAACACTTGCAGGGAACAGGTGTACAGATTCCCAGGTCTACACCCAAGTTCATATCTGCCCTCAGAACCAGAAGTCAGGAGGGGTGTGGAGCAGGAATCTTTGCTTTTAGTAAGTCACCTTGGTGATGTTCAGTCTGCAAACACCTATAGTAATGGATCTCAGAGGCAAAGCCTTTTGAAGACAGAGTTGCAACAAAGGAATCATGGCCTTATCACATACATATGTATAAATGTGTGGGGTTGGAGGGAGCATGTGTGTGTGCATCTGTGTATGTGTATTGGCTGTGGTGTCAAGCACTCTGCTAGGATCTGATTCAATCCTAAATATCCCCTTTGGGGCAGGTTCTCTGGTCCTCATTTTACTGGCGAGGAAATAGCAACTCAAAGAGGCGAAGTAACTGACAAGCAACCTTACAGCTGGAGACTGGTGGGGGTCTGTGTTTCAGCCAAGGGTGATCTGACATCCTTGCAGAGCCACTTTGCACTCTTGCCTATTTGTGAGCTGGAATTTTCTTGGGACAGGTTTTCTTTAACCTTCAATAACAGCCTAACCCCGACCTGACACCCCTGGAGATTGGGATTCTGAGGTTCTGAGAGTCTGTCCCACCACCACCACCCCAGTCACAAGGCCCTGTTCCAGGGAGGCTTTGTTGGGGTTGGGACTCCTGGTTGGGACTCCTGCTATGGTTTGGCTTGGACATGGGCTGAGGGAACAGAAGTAGGAGGCAGGTGACTTGATCTTGCTTAGCTATAGTGAGTGCAGGAATGTAAAGGAAGCCTTGGCCCTGGCTTTGAGGTGGGACCTCACATTGTACTTCTCCAAGCTCAGATGCATCTTCTTTGAGAAAGAATTATCAGTAGAATGATACAGCCATATTGGTCTTTTACACCCTATGTAAACCAATTCATTCAGTTATGAATCATTTGTGGGAAAAGTACACTGAGAATATCCCATTTGGAAAATGAGTTTGAAGTTGCTGTTATCTACCAAAAATGCACATTTAAGGAATGAGCACAGTGGTTCAAACACACCCTGTGGAGCAAAACTCTGTTGGCTGAAAGGGGGTCCTGGCTGAAAGGAAGTCCTGTGGTTTTAGGGCTGGCTTTGTTCCTGGAGGACTTTTCAGAGCTCTAAAAATGCTGAATTTCACTGTGAATTTCTAGGAAGAGGATACAGTTCCCCCACATTTCTGAAGTTCATTTGGCCATGAACTTTTTCACAGAATCTTGGGTAGAACTAACATCCTCTAGAATGTGCTTTGCAGAACCTGGGATCAAAAATCCCTAAAAATCACTAAACCCTTCCTAGCACAGAGCACTACAGCTAGTCCCTTGTGGGCTTCAGGTGCTACCTCGTCCACTAGGGTTTTCTTGAGGGACAAAGGGGAGAGGTTCGTTTGAGGTTGTAGTGACTGTGGGCAAGACCGGGCAGGTGTTGATTGAGGAGAATGGAACTCCTGGGGAAGCTCTGGGAAAGTGCGGACAGAGGGTCTACATGGTTCCTTTACTCAGTTCCCTGTCTCTTCCAGGAGATGGCACCTGCCTCCCTAGCACCTCTCACTGCCTTGTTTGAGGGGCTCCTGAGGATGCCCCATCACCTTCCTGCCCACCCTCCCCCGCCCCAGCCAGCATGAAGCTCCAGTCACTCTCTTGTCATAGGAACATGGCGTACTTGCTGGGAAGCATGGCTCACCAGGAGGCCCAAGGGGTGGCCGGCCACCTGGTCAGAGGGCTTGAGCTCAGACTGGCCACATGGCTAGATTTTAGCCTTCTTATCCATACCCCAACCCCAGGATGCCCAGGGTCAGTGAAAAGTTCTGACCATTCAAATTATACCAAGGTGTGCTAACCCCAAGTGCTGTCCCTCTTAGGATAACCTTGCTGGTCAAAGGAAATGCTTGCCTCAGAGTGGGATTCTAGGATCTTTGCAGTAGGATGAAGGAAATGACCTTGACCTGCAAGACCCTATGGACCCAAGTTCCCATAAGCAATCCCTCATAAATCCATCCCCCGTCAGTCTAAGTGCACCATTCCTGGTGTGTGTGTTCAGCAGGAAAATACAGTTCTGCTCCAACTAATGACCTAATGGCTGCTGAGGTATTGACCTACCTATCACTACTGAGCATGCACTCACCTGGACCCAGGGGGTAACTTAGCATAAGCAAAGCTAGGAGGGACTGAGCCCTCACCACGTGCCAGGTCCCAGTATGTATATTAACTTGCTGACTGGTCACAGTGACCCAGTACAGGGGATGCTGTTTTTGTCTTCTCCATTTATAGTGGAGGGAAATGAGGACAGAAGGGGAAAATGATATGCCCATGAACACCCAGCTAAGAAGTAGAGTGGCAGGACTTGAACTCATGCTGCCTGGCACAGAGCCTATAGTGCCTTGCATGGGTGGAGGGTGAGAAGGCAGAGTAGGGCTGAACAGACCTGTGCTCACTGACCCTCTCTGTAGTGCAGGGTTGAAGGTCAAGGGCCATGAGCAGCTAGTACTGTGGTAAGGCTCTGGGGGCAGCTCTGTGTGGTCTGCTCAGGGCAAGGCACAAACTGGAAGGTAAATATTTCTTAAAATAGAATGTTAAAAAATTCATGAGCTACCTGTCCAAAGGAATGTGTCTGGAATGGGGAATGTTCAAGAATCAGTTTGGGGTGTTGTGATAAAATAGTTCCCCATCCCTGCCCAACAAAAAAACTAATAAAAAAGAAATACAATAAAATAAAATGAAACAAATTAACAATGAACAAGAAAGCCATGAAAAAACTCTGGCAGGCTTCTCTGCCAGTGCATAGAAAAGGCGATACAAAGGTTTTCAACTCATTGGGTGATTTTTGTTTTTCCATTTATTACCACATTTCCAAGGGGGAAGAATATGCTTGTTACTGTTACAAACACATTCTGTTAAAACCCATCCAGGTGACTTCATCTGGCTCTGTCAAGAATGGAAGGGTCCCCACACTGCTTCCTAGAGCCAGTAGAGAACTCTGCGTGCTTGGCAGGCCTCCCATGTGGCCATCACTTCTTTTTGAATACTTGTCTGCACAACTGGTCACCACAGGTCAGCTCCTGCAATGTCAGAAAGTGAAGGCATGGTTAACAAGGTCAGCTTTCCTCCTGCCCAGAGCCCTGGCCCTTTGGTGTCTGGGGTGGGTGGTGGAGTTGGAAAAAGAGGACACTTAGTCATTCTGGGTAAAGTGCATCTCACAGGCCCAATCAGCTGGCATGCCCTACAGGTAGCAATAATTTGATTTTGACACTTGAATTGAGCTTGAACAACTATAAAAATGAAAAATGTAAAGAAATGACCCTCTTGGGCCGGTTTCTTCTAATCCCATGATTAAAGCAACATCACCTAATTTTTAAGAGGTGGGAAATAACCAGGAAAGGAAGGACCTGGTGTCGAGAAGCGTTAGGCAGGTGGGAGTCTGGGAGGAGGAGGGCTGGTGAGATGCCTCTCCTCCCAGAGGGCTTTTTGGGCTCTGGTGTTAGAACATTGGCTGGCTATGGTACAGACAGTCATAAGGTGTGAGCTGCAGAAAGGCTCCCCCAGGTCTGTATGGGCAGGTGACAAGGAACTGCTTTTCATCCAGGTAGAGAGAGCCCCAGGGCTTATCTGCACCTCACATACCCTTGAAGGAGGAGGGAAAGCTAGTGTAAGGGAAGACCACCATGCTCACATCTTAGTCATAGGTACCATTGGGAACTAGTGCTACAATTAAAAAATCCATCATCCAAACCAGAGCAAGTAGAGAAAACGGCCAGTGGAAAACACAGGGACTGCCTCCCATATATCATCTGCTAAATAAAGATCTTAGGTAAAGTAAGGATGGCTCTGATGGGCACCATGGAAACCTGAATATGAACACCAGAGGCAGGCACCTGCTGGACTCCATAGTGAGTGAATGAATGGAGATTCAGTCACCTGTCATGAATAAACCATTCATTTAACAAATGTGTGGCTGGTTGCATAAAGGAGCAAAAAATGTTTCACTATTTGAATACTTGGCCCATAAATTGTCTTGAGTATTAAAAAACAACTTAAGTTGTCCAGACAATTTATTTAAGGCCATCAGCCATTGTTCTATTATTCTGTTCTAGTAACAAGTCAACCTAAAATATTTTGGGGTCAGGAAGACTAGGTCTCAGAATGACAGGCCAGTGCAATTCCCAGGCCCAGCTGCCCCTCCCCTCTGCAACCTACCATACCTCTTTCCCTGCCAGGCTCCTGTAATTGAGAGAGGAAGACCTGGTCCTGCCTCCTCCAGGGCGTCTTAGTTCTGTGGCTCACATTTCTCCCCAGCTGGTCTTTAACAGGTTCCCTGCATTTCTCCTTGGATCTTGGCTTCCTAACTCAGCACTTTAAACTTTCTTTTTAATTGCAGCCGTTCACAGAAACAGCCATATAGATTTCTTGTTAGAGTCCCCTGAGCCAGATGGGAATGGCTTTCTGACTATATGACCACACACGATTGGCTGGAGCTCAGGAGAGGAGTGCAGAGCCATTTTTCTTGTCAAAGCACCTGGCCAGTTGACCACTGGAGTTTATGTGAGCACAGTGGAAGGGGCTGTACAGACCCAAGAACTTACCAGGTACAGTTTGTCTCCCTCAACCCACTGCTTCCAGCCTCGGTTCTCCTTCTCTCCCTTCTGCACAGCCACGAGGACATTGCCTTCCCAGGTGATCAGTGTCTACAATGACAGATGCCCAGGCAGATCAAGAGACTGAGCAAAACCTGCAGGTGAATTCCTGTAGCCACAGGGTAGAGCCCTGGCCTCAGTGTGCCAGATCTTTCCAATCTCACTTGGCATGTACACTCTATTCAGGCTCCCTCTGCCTCCCTGCCCCAGCTGGGGTTTCAACGCAGGCCTTTGAGCTTGCAAAGCAGGCATTTACAAAGCAAGTGCTGTACCACTTGAGCCACACCCCAGTCCATTTTGCTCAGGTTATTTTGGAGATGGAGGTCTTGTGAACTATTTGCTTGGGCTGGCCTTGAACCATGATCCTCCTGATCTCAGCCTCCCAAGTAGCAAGGATTACAGGCACGGAGCCACCGGCACTTGGCCCCTCTGTTCCTTTCTAAGGAATTTTAGTCTATCAGTTTTTTTGTAAGGTAAAGACAGCTTTTCAAATCAGGGTGGGGGAGGGATGAGAGGATGGGGGTTAAGATGATAAATTCAACTATTAACAATGTAAAAATTCTAGAAGGGGAAAATACCTCAACGTCAACAGGTAAATAACAAACTGGGACAAAGAATTGTAATATATCAGTAAAAACCCAGTTTTCTTATATATAAAGGACTCCTTTAAATCAATAAGAAAAAGATCATTAATCCGATAGTTGATGTCAACAAAGGATATAACCAATAGCTTACAAGGGGGATTAAAAATCCCTGCCAGATGGATTTTAAACATAAATAAAGATATTCAGCTTTGTTTGTAGTAAGATCAATGCTAATAAAACTTCTTTTCAGATACAATTCATGGTGTGGTCAAAGGACAAAGAATTTGGAAATACACAAATACAATTTGGAATTGGATGGAGGGTGTGTGCACAAGTAGGCAGTTATACATGGCAGGTGGGAACAGAAATCTTTTTTGAGGGCAATTTAATTTTACTTTTCAAAATATAAAATTGCATGTACTCTTTGACCTAGAATTCTACTTCTGCAGATTATTCCGACAGGAGTCACATTGTGAGGACCATCCACTGTAGGGTGGAAATAAAGGCAGGGAGGCTTCCTACTCAATTAGGGAACAGCCCACATGGCTCCAGAGGCCAGTCTTCTCATCTAGAAGGAGGCTGAACCTTCTCCTGGTCCTCCAGGCAGCCATGCCAACTAGTTAATTGCACAGGGACAGCAGCAGCAAAACTCATGACAGACTAAAGTTGAGCTGGTCAGTAGGTTGGAGAAACCTCAGGCCTACTGACACTGAAGAGCACTCAACTCCCTGTGCACATATTTGCAAATTACTCTTCTTTTCGTTCCTTACTTTCCTTCCTAATACGTGCCCCGGTACTGTCAGCATGACCTCCAGGGAGTCTTCCAGGGCCTCCCACTTCTGTGCTTGCTCATGTACCTGCTGAGAAGATGGCTCCATTCCTGGGTACTTGTGTTAGTGCCAACCTTCCTTGGGAATGACCCTGACGCCAGTGGTTTTCTTCCAAGTACACACATACCATGTTGTGCCTTAATGAATAATGTTATGCCAAGGACCAGACATGACTTTTCTCTATGTGTTGGAAACTCAGCTGGTGATTAACTGACCTATGGGTCTTTTTCCCTACTGTCCTCGTGTATCGAACAAATCTGTTTTCTACGAATTGTTTAATCTACCTATTTCTAAAATAATATTTGACCTTGACCACAGTGTATACTTTATGTATAATTTTATTCCTCCTCATTTTACTCCCCAGTGCACCACCACACTGTTTGTTAGTGCAAGGGACTGAAAGCTTCATAAATTCTGTCAGTGGGTGGCTGGTTAAATGTGATGCAGTTCTTCTCTGCTATGCAGTCATAGGAAGAATACAGCCACAGTGTATTGTTTGTTTAAAAAGCAAGGTGCAGAGCAATGTGCATAAAACAAGAGAGTGAGCTGGGGAGTATGGGTGCACACATATATTTGCAAGTGTTCTCTGCAAGGAGGTAAAAGAAACTCTTAGAGATTGTCCCTGAGGAGGGACCAAGCCAGGGCCCAGGATGGGAATGAAATTTCTCTTTTACTGTTTAATGTTTTTTAACCATCTGCAGGTGATAATATTCCCTAAGCTAATTTAAAAATAAAATTCTACATGTTTTCTAAAGGAAAAAAATAAGTCTCCTCCTCCTTCAGGGCCATTTTAAGCCTCCCATCTTTGAAGGTCTTACAGAAGCTCAAGTTATCGGTTGCTCTCCTTGCTCTTCTGGGAGGGAGGACTGTCTGGAATACTCATTTGCTGTTACTCATCATTGGCTTTGAACTCTGGGTTCCTTCCTAACTAGATAGTGCAGGACTACTGTCTTCTATTCAGGCAAGGATTGATCTTTGGCTTTCCCTACTTTCATATTGCCTTGCACCTGATGGTTCCTTGTATGTGTCAATTGAATTGGCTTCTCTCTCCCTCAAAAGACAATAAGCTCCAGGTGAGAAAGACGACACCACTGTTATTTCTGCAACAGCAGCACAGTGGGCAGCATTGCTGAATGAATCTGTGGTTGAACGGCTTATTGCAGCAGAATCTTGAGGTAAATCAACCTTACTCTTGCTTTAGAGGAAAGAGGTCCCATTACAGGTACCCCAGTGACCTTCATGGTGGCTGTGATATAGTCGTTTTCTACTTGTCTATCTTTCCCATGAGGTTGAGATCCCTGAGGACAGGAAAGGGGGCTCTGATTCATCATTTTACCTCTGTCTTCTGTCATAAGCCTGGCATGGAGTAGGGACTTAGCAAATTTTGCAGAAAGAAGGAAGAAGCAAAATTTTACTGCATGGAGGCCCATCTTAATATTTTATTTTAGTAACTCATATTGGCAGCAAGGTTAACAGTTATTCTGACCCTTAAGTAAATTGGTTACTAATGAATCATGCCGATACTTCCAACACTACACACTTACTCTAACATGAAACAGACAACGAGAAGCAGAAAGAAGAGAACGGTTAAGTGAGCCCAAATCCTACAATTCAGTTTGCTTTTACTGGCTGCGCTTCACCTGTTTTTTTTTTTTTTTTTAACCTGTGAGATTTTAAAAACAGACTCAACTGCTTTATAAGGACATAGGTGAGGAAACCATTGATTCTGAAGGTACGGGTGAAGAGGGAGCTTGCTCCAAGGATGAGCAGGTTTTAAAATGAAAGCAGGAATCTGGGTCCCACCACCATTTCCCCTCTCAGGGAAAGTTAGATTAGATAGATACAGGTCTGTATCAATGTTCAACTTGTGCAAGTTGGATAACTACGCTATAGGTATATAAGAAAACATCCTAATTCTTTGGAAGCATGTGCTTTCAAAGGGGTTGCATCAGATTGTCTGGGAAACAAATGTATGTTAGAGAAAGAACATCTAAAAATAGGAAAAAATATAACAATAGGTAATTCTTGGTGAAGAGCATGCAGGTGTTCTGTTCTATTCTTGAAACTTTTCTGGAAATTTGAAACACTCTCCAAAATGTTCTAAAGAAAGGAAAATAACTCTTTTTTTTGTTGTTATTTTTTTGGGGGGGTGGGGCTTGAACTCAGGAACTCATACTTGCTAGACAAGAACTCTATTACTTGAGCCATGCTTCCAGCACTTTTTGCTTTATTTATTTTTGATGGGGTCTCCTACTTTTGCCACAGCTGGCCTTGGACTATGATTTTCCTACCTCGGCTTCTCAAGTAGGAAGTGGGATTACAGGCACGTCCCACCACACCCAGCCCCTAAACAGATCTTTAAATTAAGGGGATTGGAAGTTTCTGTTACCATGCTTAGATGTTCCCCATATGAGTTCCTCCAACCCCCTGCAGTGCCTGCCTCCTTCTCTGGCAGCCCCTGAGTCTGTCTTCTAGGTGGAGGCAGTCCCCCTAAGCCCGTTGCCCCTCCTCTGGGTTCTCCCCCCTGCTTTCAGCATCACAGCGGCACTATAGACAACCGCCTCTGTCTAGCCTGCTCTCCTCAGTCCTTACAGCCCGATCCAGTTTCAATCATGTTTTTATTGAAATATAATTCACAGACCATGAAATTCACTATTTTAAAGTAACAATTCAGTCTTTTCCTGATGATGGTTGTGTAACCCTCATCACTGTCTAAGTCCAGACAATTTCATCACCTCAAAAGTTTCCCTGTACCTATTAATGGTCACTACCCTAAACCTCTGTCCCCTTTCCCCTGGCTCTATGAATTGGCCTATTTTGGACACTTCAGATAAATCATGCAATGTGTGGCCTCTGATGTGTGGCTTCTCTCACTTAGCATATTTTCCAAGTTCAAGTTGTCATGGGAACCAGCACTTCATCCCTCCTCATGACTGTATGATTCTCCACATGTATGTGGATAGTAATTACTTCTTTTCAGTTTACTTTGAGATAGCTTGTGTATTTTTAAAAAGGGATTTAAACCCTCTGAAACAAGTGAGGATAGGAAGCGAGGAACATATATGCCCCACAGAAAGGACAGAGGGGGTCTCTGGTCCCCTTAGAGAAGAGTTCACACCATGTTAGATGTAGTTTCATCTCTCCGTCTGGGAGCTGGCACAGAACTTGGAACTTCAGGGCCCTCTGGGCTGTGGCCACCTCCCCTCCCCACCTGTCCTCTGGGGAGTTCTTCTGAGGGCTCCTGAGGGCTCCTGAGGGTGAACTTGACAAATGGAGTTCTGAAGGAAAAGACCACGAAGAATGAGAACTACTGCACACGTCCACATCCATTCTGGTTCAGGCATGGGAAGCAAATGGTCCTGAGGACCTGCTCTGTACTGTTATTCTCATGGGAACAGACTTTTGTCCAGCTGGGCAAACTGTCTTGGGTGCATCTCATCCCATGGATCATGTGTGTGTGTGTGTGTGTGTGTTAACCCTGGCTTTGGCTTTCTGTTGCAAACAGGACACAAGCCGTGGAAGAGGGTTATCTCTCTCTGTAGGGCTAACCATGATCCTGAAGACAGAAAAGAGAATAGAAAGTGGAAATGTGGAAGAAGGGTACCCATTGACACATAGAATCCTGTAAAGTCAAGAAAGGCAGGAAGGACATGATTTATTTCAGGAAGATCAAGTTCTCTACTGTCAAAACTGATAAAGAACAAGTCAGAGAGGACAGGCATGACTTTCAAGAATCCATGCCCCAAACTGGAAGGAGGAGGAAAATGAATCACTTTGAACTGATTTGATTGCAACAGTAGAGTGATGCAAAATCCCCAGGGACAAATTTTCCTATCAGTCCTGATGTCTGATGAATTGATTTTTCACCCATACTTCAGAAAAGGTTCATGGATCCAATATCCCCTCAGGGAACGATTCTACAAATGGATATTCCAGGGCCTGGAAGCTTCTGCTGTCTTATGCCAGGACTGTTCTGCTGAAAGAATTTCCAAAATGTTTTTCACTTTCCCCTTCTTCTTCAGCAAAGAGCCTAGATTGTAGTTCTACTGAATTTCCTAGCTTATACCCTGTAAGTTAAGACAATGATAAGACAGAAGCCACCAACTTGCCAGAGACATTTCCAAGTTAGTAGGACTGGGTAAACCTGACTTCAGTTAGTCCACTGTGTCATTTGTTGTTGATGAAAGTACATCATGATTTTCTAAGAAAAATTGTGCCAGTTGAGATCACCTAAAGTTCAGATATTTCATATAAAAGCATCTTAATTCTCAACATCTCTTGAAAAGAAAACAAAGATCCGAGGGGGCTGGCTGAGTGGCTCAAGTGGTAGAGCACCTGCCTAGCAAGAGTGAGCCCCTGAGTTCAAACCCTAGAACCACAAAAATAAAATAGTAAAAGAAAACAAAAATCAGGCACCATCAGGCCTCATCCCTCCACGGTGGTGTTGGCTGCCTCTTTCCGCAAAGAAAGTTACCATCTGTGCCTAGGACGCTCCAACTTGACCAATTTGCTCTGCCTACATGACCGTGCAGTCTATGGGGTCCCCGCCTAGATCCTGGAGCATTGAGGTCTCCCTAGTCTGCTTCTTCCTACTCAGATTTCAATAATTGTTCATTGACAGCATCATTAAATCCATTCTGATCCTGCCTGTCTAATCTTTCCTCGTCATTTCTATCATCTTTTCAATGTGAAGCCAAAACCCAGCCCCTGTACAAAGAGCATGCCAGTGAAATCCTCCAGCCCACGGCAGTACCTTGACATGTCGGTTGTCCAGGCTCTTTGTGTGTTCGTCAAACTCCACCCCGACAGTGAAATCCACGTCATAGTTGCGGAACGTGCTGTTGGTTTTTGTCTTGAAGTTATCGCCGTCTTGAACAATGATCTTTGTCTGAGTCAGACGTACTGCGATCTTGCGGGTGGCAAAATCAATATCTGTTGGCATAGAGAGTAGTGGAGGTTATGAAGTGTTCAGCCAGACTCATTCATTTCTCTAACAAGGCCAAGCACTCAGGGCCCGAGACACAGACCGTGGACAGGCCACATTTCTTTGCTTAAGTGAGAAGCAAGAGTTGTCTTACTCATAGTTGGGTTGGGCACCTCAGTCAATTGCTGGGAACCAGAGGATTCTCTTGGCATGTCCCCAGGATCCCTGGTGGGAGGGAGACATAACAGTGGAATCTCAGAGGAGTTGCAGCTCCCAACAAATGCGTGTACACACACACACACACACACACGCACCTGTGGACACAAACACATGCACCCTCACACCCATGCACACCTCCACCAGAGCAGTTCCAGTTCTGGCCAACACACAATTCTTCCAAGAATTTGCTGTGAAGATTTCATGCTTTAAAAGAGAAAACACTTGGAAAGTCACCCGTCTCAAGCACAGGTAAAGATGAAATTTGCAAATGTCCATAGCAGGGAGAGATACTTATAAACTTCCTTAAAAAAAAAATTAGTGGTACTGAGGTTTGAACTCAGGTCCTGGGGCTAAGTAGAATGTCTAGGAAGTGCTCCATCACTTAAGCCATCCTCCAGCCTTTTTTGCTGTAGTTAATTTTTCATACAGGGTTTGGTGCTTTTTGCCCAGGCTGGCCTTTGACTGAGATTCTCCTACCTATGCTTCTTGCATCGTTGAGATTACAGTAACTACCAGTAACACCCTGCTTGTTCTTTAATTTGATGATTCTGGGGTTTGAACTCGGGGCCTTTTGCTTGCTAGGTAGGTGCTTTACCACTTGAGCCACTCCACCAGCTCCAGCTGGTTCTTTGAGGGATTCTTGCTAACTTTTTTGTCTGGGCTGGCCTCCAGTTCTACTTCCAAAGTAGCTGGAATTATAGATGTCAGCCACTGTGTCCAGCCCCAGACTTCCATTTTTAAATCTGATGAAGCTTCCTAAGTTAGGCTGTTTTGCCTTAGTTATAAGCTCCTGGGGTAGTTGTAGGTGTGCTCTAGGCATATGCATTTGCTCAGAGATTTTATTTTGTTGTTTCAAAGCAAATCTTAATAATTGTTTCCCTTTTATAAGGGAACATTCTGAACAAATCAAAGAGAAGAGTACAAGGAACCCTGTCTACTCATCCAGTTTCAACAATTATCAACAGTTTGCCCACCTACTCCAGCTATGTCTTTCATCTTTTCTTTTACTTTGCCTCCTTTTTTTTTTTTTTCCAGTTCTTGGGCTTGAACTCACAGCTTCATATTTTTGAAGCAGGTGCTCTATTGCTTGAGCCATGCCTTCAGCCCTTTTTGCTTTGACTGTTTTGGAGATAGGGTCTCACTTTTTGCCCAGATCAGCCTGGACTTTGATTCTCTTATATTTTAAGCTTCCCAGCATCACCGGGATGACAAGTTCACACCCAGATAATTTCCATTGAGATGGGGTCTTTTTTTAGTCCTGGCTGGCGTGGAACTGTGATCCTCCTGATTTCAGCTTCACAAGTAGCTAGGATTACAGGCATGAGACACTGGTGCCTGGCTCGTCTCCATAGTTTAAAGCAAACCGTATTCATTTCTTAGCAATATTTAGTGAGAGGGAGTATGCAATCTCCCAAGCTTTGCATGTCATGGTAAGAAACTCAGTGATGAGCCCACTTATTTCCCAACCTCTGGTTGTGCATAAAATGTCATCTAAGCCAGTCATTGTCCTGGGGATTAGATGGAGGATAGTTCTGGAACTGCCCAGTTTCTGTCCATGCTATCCATATCCAGCTCTTAGTCTTCAGCCAAATCACATTCAAATCCCTTCATGTCTATGAATTCTCTAACATTTGAATATAAACCTAAATCTGTACATTTTTTTCCCAGGTGGGTGATCATGGTGACAGCCAGGGAAGAATAAGAGAACTAATTTTATGGGGGATATAGTGAGCTGAATTTTAGGCAAAGTGAATCTGGAAACAACACTGTGGGTTCTCTTGGTAATATTTAGGGTGGGGTTTAGGCCACTCTTTAGAAACTGCCAGGTGTGGTGCCCCATGGTAGAAACTCCCTTGGGAAACCTTGCTTACTTCATTTTCCAAACAAACCTATGAGGTAAGTATTAAGTTATTTCCATTTTACAAAGGAGGAAACTGGCTCCCAGAAGATGTGTCACTTGCCCTGGGTTTTATAGTGGAGAAGCAGGAGAGATGATCTTTGAACTCAGGAGAGTCTGTCCCCAGGGCCATTCTGAGTTCCATAGGCCCTGGGAGACCTCAATTAAGCCACCTCCCTTGTGCACTTCTTGTGCTACCTAAGATACCAGTACCTTCTGACTCTTGTTGGATTTTCCCAGAGACCCAGGGACTTTTTGAATCACCTGTTAGAAACAGATGATGTGTTTCAGGACCCTTGCATATGCTCCCTGCCCCCCACCAAAAAGCAATTGTTTTCTAGGCCCAGGGCTTTGTAATAAGTCAAAGCCGGAGTGATCACACTCTACCTCTCCTGCATGTTGACGGACAGTGCGTTTAGCTTCAACTCCGTGGCTTATGACATTGTACATGTTCACATTAGAGCCACACAGCCCACAGGCCACAGGACATGGGGGTGAAAGAAATGCTCTCTGTGCTGTTTTCTGTGCTGTGCATATTTCTAGGCTTCTTAGCCAGAATGCACAGAGCCCAGGGCTCCCCACTGTGCTTGCCAACACCTCAGTTCTAAGGGAAGTTTACTGGTCAAGTGAGTGATCAACTCCATTTTGGAAATGAGGAATGAAAACCAAGAGAAGCCTGCTTCTGCACTGCAGAATCGTGCAGCTTTTCATGTAGGAAAGAGGCTTTGTAACTCCAGGATGGGATGCAGGGTGCTGGCTTCCACAATCTTACATGGGGGACATCCATCCTGTTGGGTGTTCTACAAAACGTGATGTGGGAAGGGCTGACAAGACCCTTTCTGAGGTATTCACCTCAGGCACATTAACACTGAACCAAGGACACAACTCTGGTTCAATTCCCCCTTCTTCATGGCAACATTAGCCTGTTTTGATAGGCCTATGGAGTCAAGAATTTCTGATTTCAAAATGAATCCACCCTTTTTTTTTTCTAAAAGTCACTGGGGAGATGTCCTCCACATTCTAGTTCATATAAACATGTACTTGTTAGAGAGGAACTAGCAGGGGACTAACATGTCCCCTATTTCTCTCCTTCTACCCAACAGACACGGTGTGGCAAGTCAGGTGATGTCTGTGTGCCTAACTGCAGAGCCATGGCAGGGCACGGGGTTCAGATGCAGAAGCAGCAGAGACCAGTAACCATAATGGAGGTGTTATTAACCACATCAGGTTGTGGCAAGGAGTAAAGAAAGCTTGTAAAGAGCTTGGTGCAGTGGGTTGCAGCTGTGGCAATGGCTCCACAAGTGGCAGCTGCCATCCTTGTTACTAAGTCTGTGAGCTCACAGGCCAGTTTCCTCAGAGTCCTCGCCATCTTCCCAGATGCTCCCTGAATATTTGATCTCTGAATTCCTGCCATTCTCCTCCCAGCTCTCCAAATCTCTCGAGGCTTCGTTCCAGCCTTGCTTCCTATGGTGTATCCTGCTCTTTCCTGACTCCCTTCTCACCTGCTATCCAGGTGACATGGTTTTACCCCCAGGAAATACCTCTGGTGTTTCCCTGACTTTTTCCTCATGGTTGATTATTCTGTCCTCCTTAGTATTACCCCTATAAAGGAAAGACACTGCTGTCCCTTTACTCTGTGCCCCGCCCCAGAACCAGGTCCACGGCTCCACACACACAAGTGCTCAGGAAGTGCCATGGGCTGGTTAATGGAGGACAGTGGTTCTCAAAGTGAGACCAGGGAAGTCCAGCAGTAGCGGTGCTACCTGGGAACATGTTAGAAGTGGAAATTTGTGCAAATTGCATAGCTTGGCAAATCGGGCCCTGCTTGTTCGTTCAAATTTTCCAGGGGATTCTGTGCAGATCAATGTTTAGAAATACTGATGTAAAAGATCAAGGGGGTGGGGGAGATCTGTCCTTGAGTTCCCATCTCTGTGACCTTAAGGAAATCATGACTCCTAGTCATGATAAAATGAGGAAAAAAGTACTCACTCCATAGGATTGTTACAATAAGGATTCAGTGAAAATTCTGGTGAAATACTACACACTGTAGCAAGAAGCTTGTGGGCATTCACTGCATGTTAGTTTCAACATTGACCTTGTCTGTTTGGGTCAAATAGGAATTCAGTTCAGAGTGAAATGTTCAGGTCACATTTATGCACTCTTACGGCCATCTGCCACCCCATGGAGCAGTCACCTGGTGGCTGATCCACTCCTCACTCTATCCACAGCTGTCACATGGGCTCTGCATCCAGCGTGGCTGGATCAGCTTCCTTCCTCTGGAGTTTGGTTGATGAGGAGTCCTGCTCAGTTTCCCTGTGCTGAGGTCCCAGCTGAGCTAAACCACACTGCAGGAGGCATCATTAGGAATTGGGAAAAGGAGAGCAGAGGAATAAAGAGCAGTCCAGGCCATCTACTAAGGAAATTATAGAGGAATCTAGAAGTGAAGTGTTCCTTAGCAAGCAAGTCTATTTGCACTCTGTGCATGTGAAGATTGAGCCCAGGGACTCGGAGGGGTGAGTTCAGAATCACCCAGATATACAACAGTCTCCCTACAAATATGGCCTGTTTGTCATTCACAACTAAGGCCCCCTAATAACAATTATTGCTTGTCCCTGGTTGCCTAGAGAGGTAGATTACAGCTTAAAAAAATGCCCAGTGCTGAAAGAACTGGTTTGTCCTGGAAGCACCATCCCTAGTCAATCTTTCTGACCAGTGCTGGGGGAATCTTATTAGGGGCTCTATGCAAATGGAATCAAGCATCACTTTCCTTCCAGTTGAAAAATGGCTTGGCCTCTTGGCCACCCTTTAGCATTTGCACAAGCCAGTTAATCATGTCACCTCTGCTGTACCCGAGGGAAGGGAGCCAAATATTCTTCTGGTAGATTCTTTGCT